CTTCCTTTGCCCACCCATAAAATGAGGAACTGGACTAGAAGTTATTCAGGGGCCTTCCACCTCCCACATTCTGGAAATCATGAAAAATAGAGCTGACTTCCGTAGCAAGCACCGAGAGGCCCCACCAGGACTGGGGACGTTTCTGAAGTCCTGATTGTCACTTCAGCTCCCTTCCTAGGGACCCAATAGTCTCTCTTGGGAGGGCGAGGTTTTTAAATGTCATGGCTGTGTGTTTTCTTTTTAATACAGACAAACACAATAAAGGAATCCAAGTCTTATTACCTTTATCCAGATAACCCTGTTGACAGCTTCTAAAATAAAGTAATAGATGGTCCTGGGGAGAGAATGCAGAGGACACGGGAAGGCCAAAACGAAAACTGAAAGCGCACAGCCCCTCCCCGCCCCACGGAGCCCACAGCACCCTTGCCAGCAGCAGAATGGCCAGGGGTTCAAGGCCTATGTCCTGCACCCCCATTCACTACCTATAACCTGCACGGGTCTTTTCATCTCCTCCAGACCTCAGTTTCTTTATCTGCCCAGTGGGTCGAATGGTAATACCCGCGGCCTCCTAAGGATTCAGTGAGCTAATGGCGTATGCAGACTTGGGAGAGAACTCAGTGCTGGGTCACCAGGGCTCCTGAGTTCACGGCTGGGATATCTATCGCTCACGACCCTTTCCGGGAGTCTTCCAGACAATATACCACTATCTATTTCTGTATCTTTCTTTAACTCAAAAGTGGATCATACGCTCTTTGGCATCTGGCTCTCTTCACCTTGCTCAGTTGAGAGATCCGTCCTTCCCAACACAAGCGGTCTAGTTCTTTCACTGTGACCAACACCAGAAAGTTGAGGTCCTGGAAGCGTCCATTCTGGCCCAAACCATGCACACGTTTTCAGCTTGGCTGGGTTTACCCTTCCACTGAGGAGGGAAAGAACCTTCCCGTTTCCACACACCCCTGGCGGTCCTGGGCGTCACCACGGCCTGGGTGGTTTCCAGTCTGACCCCAGTGAGTCAGTGCAGGGGCCAGAGGCCATAGTGATGTGGCAGACACACGAGATGGGGCCTGGGCTCCAGGGCTCAGGGAGGTTGGGCCTTGGGGGGATGGGCCAGAGCTGCAGGCTGCAGCCAGATCCGAGGGCCTATCAGGCCCAACCCTGTACCCATTTCCAGGATATTTTATAGAAGGAAGTGCTTGCCTTTGGGCTGGGGCAGCTCACTGGGTCCTTATCAACTAACTTTAGGCCTTTCCTGAAGCAACCCTCTGAAGGCTGGGGCTGGCTAGGATGCCCGCGTGGAGCCCTCTGGGGAAGCCTGTGGAGACGGCCCATGGTGTGACCTCCTCAGCGGGTCTGCTCTGACCTCAGAGAGCCAGTGACTTGTGGAAACAGCCAGGTGCCATTCCGAGCCAAGCCTAGTGCGGATGCTGCAGAGGCCAACCCAGGTCACCCTTCCCGGTGACCACAGAATAACGACGCCCATCTGCCCCATGACCGTTACTTGCTTAGAGAAAGTTCCAGAAGAGAGGCTGCAAACCTGTTCCAGTGACATGGTATCACTGGGTAAGGAGGCAGCCTCCAAGATGACAAGGGGACTCACTGGGAGAGACTGAAGTTTAGCACCTTGATGAAAATATTCACATGCAGGGACCGACCAGCTGCCAAAAACACAGTGGACAACAACCACCAAGCTTGGCCCGCGTCTGCAGCTTTACAAATACTGCTCCCTCTGCCCCACCTGCTCCCTCTGCCCCACCTGGCCCTCCAGAGCCCCTCGCTCGCTCCTCTGGCCCACTGAGCCACCGATTCACAGTGGGGCCGCTTTTTGTCTGCTTGTCCAGCGCCTCATCCCAACACTCAGATTATGAGCTTTGAGAGATCAAAGGTCATGGCCTTCCACATCTGTGTTGGCATTGCACAAAGCAGTGGGTGGCACACGGCAGGGACTTAGTAATTCTGGGATGGAGGAAGAGAGGAGTGTGGAAAGTCCCTGGAGGAGGGCGTCCGAGGACCTGGCCTTGGGTGCTGGGCAGCCACAGGAACTGGGACCTTGCACCTCCATTTCCTAATCTGTAAAGACGGGTGTTGGAACGACAGGTAGCAAGCGCCCCTCCCAATCCTGTTATTTGTGTGCTTTCTCATGACAGGAGCTGGAAGGTGGGAGGGAAGGTTGCGAAAGGCCCTGGCTGGGTGCTTGCCCCCCAGGATGGTTCCCAGACGCCACACTGTCCCACAGAAGGCAGCAGGGATGGATAGGAGGGCAGGAGAGGACACGCTCTCACTGACCATCCAGCCCAGCAAAGCTAGAAACCGTCAAAAAGTAAAAATTCCATTTGTAAACAAGATCGAATTATTTGATTGTGAAACCAGGGTCCATGGAATTTAAAACAATTTAATATGAAACAATATCATTTGAAATGCTGGCCAGCCAAGGACCTGGGGCAGAAGGCTACAGCCTCCTGTGGCCAGACACGTGGAAGCCAGCCTCAGGGAATAATAACGAGCCACGCTTCAACAAAGGTGGTAGAGAGTCAGCTTCGTGGCCACCCCCGGGCCGGGCACCAGGCAGCCAGCCCGTGGCTCCTGTCCCCCTGGAATTCACAGTCTCAATAGGCAAGCAAGTCACAGACCACGAGAGGATCATTAGGTGGCAGATGGTCCAAGTCCAAAGGGAGGCTCAGATAGAACTAGGGGGATGCACTGTGGGCCCCAGCGGGCATTGTTGGGGGGCTCTGCAGTTTCCGTACTGCGATGACAAACTGAGGGCCGAGTGTGCAGCCAAGAGGACAGCACCCTGAGAGGAAGGAACGGCAGAAGAGGTATGTTCAGAACAGAAATGAGGATCACTTTGTACAAGCGAGTCACTCCCAAGCCTCAGTTTTGTCATCTGCAGAATGGGAGTCATCCCAGTCCCCGCCCCCCAGCTGGAGCGAGGGTCAGAAATCACTCGCAGGTACCCCCTGGAAGCCCACGTCACCAGTGCACAGAGGCACTCCGGGTGGAACTGTGATGCAAGTGGCACGGTCAGCTGACACCGGCAGGGGGTTGGCTGGGGCAGGTGCCCCGGAGGCGCACAGGGGCTCAGTCCTGGCTGGCTGGGATTCAGCCAGGTGGGCACCTGCTGGTGCTTTTCGAAAGGATGGAGGAGGCAGGGCCCAGCAGATCCTGCACCAGCAGCACTGGACGTCCATGTCTCCTGCCATAACATAAACATAATTGGGAATATTTCAGGACTGGAAGAGCAAGAAAAACAAACCCAGGGATCCCAGACAAAGAGTGCGCAAAGGCCAACTTTCATGTCACATCCAGAAACCACATGTTCATCAAGCCACCTGCAGACTTGCAGCTCAGTGGGGAGGTGCCGTGCTGTTGTGTTTAGAAAACCAAGCTAGCCATGCAGCTGTGTGGGGAGGTCCAGTCACCACCTCCCTCCATCGTCCCAAACATGGCTTGGCCACAGGTTTCTGCAGGGGCTGGGGAGAGCGGGACTTTCTCATCCCTGCGGTGCCACCTTGGGCACCTCCTGTAACCTCTCCACGCCCAGTGGGGTCTGGAAAATGCCCAAGGTCACCTGGCCAATGAGCGGCAGGCCTAGAGCGCAAACCAAGCAGACTCCCCGGCCTCTCTCTCCTGGCCCCCCCTAGATGAGCTCACCCTGACTGGCCACATGGAGGGGGTAAAGACTGGCCCGCTCAGCGGCCCACCCTGCACATGCAAACCAGCTACCTGTGGGCTCGGGAGGGCTCCAGGTCCCTGCTCCCCTTTGAGACAGCAACGCTGAGCAGTGTTATTTTTATTCCTCCCCGAGCCTTGCCAGATTACATCGTCAAGGCCAACACTGGAGATATTTCCTTGGTTTCGCAACTCACACGGTGACTAACACATGTTACATTTTGAAAACCTCTCTTGGTAAAAATTTAAGCTGAATTGTAAATACATAAAAGTCTCCATGTTAGTGGGGTGCATGATTTCTCGGTGGCTGTTTTGCAATCCTAAGATTCCTAAAGGATGTGGAATTCTATAAAACCGGATAACCCGCCCGGATCTGCCCTTTGAAACCGTCACTGTAGGCAGCAGCCCTTCCATCTGTCCATAGTTGTAAGAGCTACAAAACCCCTTTGCGTGCCCTGCCTCGGGGGTGTCGGGACACTTCAGCCAGCCTGGTGGTCCGAGCAGGGAGTGCAGAAATCCTCCGAGGCTAATGGTTTCCTCCTGTGCATGAGCGCACGTGCCCGCCCGGCAGCCTGCCAGGTGCTGGACATACCATCGCTCACTGCAGCACCACTGATGACAGTGACAAAGCTGAGGCACAGTGATGTGAAGGCTCACTCAGAGACAAGAAATAGAGGAGGACTCGGTCCTAGGCCTCGTGCCCCTCCGCAGCATGGGATGCCCACAGCTGTGCCCATCATGCCCACCCATGTCCCATGCCATCCACTCTGCACCTGCCTGACCTGAATGCACCAGGGTGGTCCCCACCTGGGGCAGCCGATATGAAGGAAGGACACCTGGGGTCTCGGTTTGAGCACCTGAGCTAAGAAATGGAAAAGGATGGACAGCTGGCAGCAAGCCACCACGATGTCCCTGTGCGTGCCGGAACTACGGGGTCACGTTGGAGCTGGTGTGGGAAGGTGACAGGAGAAAAGCCGAGAGCGGTGGGGGAGAGGCCATCCGCTGTGAGAGGGGCCGTGTAAGGAGCACAGGGCCGAGTGCCCAGAGCGTGGACAGCACCTGCCGGTCTGCAGCAGCCCCTGCTCCCTGGACATGCATTGAGTGCCCTGCCAGGCTGGCTCCTGCCACATCAGCTGAGCCCGGCCCTGCGTCTGGGCACAGCAAGCACGGGATTATTTGCTGAGTTTATGCAAGCCTGAAAGAACGAGGGAGCCTGCCCGCTCCACCCCACCGCTACAGGCCATGTGAGTGGGTTTTACCATCACAAGAAGCCCCAGCAGATGCCACGGCTGCTCTTGCTCGTTCTGTGACCTCCCGTGGGGGATCTCGGAGCGGGGCAGGCCCTTCCCTCATCAGCAGAGGCTCACCTGAGCCAGGCAGGAGCCAGAAAGCGCTTGTGCAACTAGAGGCACGTTTATGATCCAATACACTCCGGGACAAACACTGATTTTTCTTCCAAGTTCAGGGCCTCTCTGGGTTCCTCTCAGTTCCCCACCCACCACTGCCATGATGAGCTGCCTGACAAGCCCAGAGACTCGGACCATCAAGGCGCAAGTCTCCTGGATGCCACAGGCCCCACAAGGCCGCCCTTTCCCGCATTCCAGTGATGTGGACATCACACCCCATAGCTGCTGCGGTGTGCTGAAAGACGGGCCCATCCAGACGTAAAACACTAACAGGTCGCTCCATGGAGGAAGTGCATGGCTGTGGAAGACGGGGCTGTTCACTCAGTTCAGGAGGCAGCCCTGCTACTCCTCTGTAACTCTTCCCTGAGCACGACCCAGTCCAGGCTCTCATGACACACACATTTGCGCGGTCAAAGTGGCGCAAGACAGACCCAGAGATAATCAAAATACAGTCATACGTACAGAAATAAAAGCATGTCCAGGGCCCACGAGGGAAGCATCAGCTCTAAATGGGGGTCGGCAAGGGCTCCCCAAAGAAAGGAAATTTCTGTTGACTCGCGGTTTTAATCTGGCCTCTGCAGAATGCCTGTTATATCAGAGCCGACTGGGCCTTGATGGAATTGCTCAGCTTTCGGTAATAACGAGTTTGTCCCGGTTGTGCAGGGAAGTACTTTCAAGTTATCCTTTCTTCTTCTTTATTATAGCAACAGCTTACAACGCTTGAGAAGACAGTTTCCTTAATTCAATTACCAAGTGAGCTAAATGCATTTGCTGAAGATAATTAAGAATCTTTATAAATATAAAACAATTACCCCATCAAAATACAGCACTAGATATTATTATTCAAGCAAGCTTTTCGATCAAGTCCTCCCCTTTTCCAAGCAGTTCCGAAGCCCCCATGCCCGCCTTGCTGATCTCCCCAGGCAGAGCTGCCCGTGCCCACGCTGCTCATCCCGCCAGCTTCTCAGCTCGATGCCAGTGCCTGCCCATGCCCGCTCCAGCCCTGGACCAGGAGCTGCCTGAGGTCAGGGCCACCCTCACTCACCTCTCGGGTCCTAGCACTGGCCCAGAGCAGGTACCAGAAATGGTGTGACAAAGTGCAGAGCGGCCTGGGGGAGACGAGACGATAAGCCCAGTGCAGTGTCCTGGCCTGCATCCTGCAACAGAGAGAGGACAGTGGTGGGAAAACTGGTGAAATCCAAATAAAGTCTGGGGTCGAGCTAATGACGGACCAATGTCAGTTTCTCCGTCGCCTGTTATCGCACCATGTTATAATAGCAAAGGGAAACTGGGTGAGGGGTAGGGAACCCTTTGGACTACCCTCACAACTTCTCCAGAAATCTGAAATTATTCTAAAATTCTGAGTTTATAAAAACAAAAACAAAAGCACCGATGTGACTGAACGTGCCAACGAGACGGCAGAATCTCACTACTGCTCAGCGGTCCCCATTTTTAGAAACTCGCCCTAGACCCCCACCCCCACCTTCAGGACAGAAACAGCAATAGGTTATATAGTGAGGGGCTGGGAAAATGGGGTACCCTTTTAATAGAATTGTTTAATGTCAGGTATACCAGCACCCCCCACAGCCCTGTAGTAGCAAGTGTCATCCACAGGCCTTTCCTTGACCCCCCCCCCAAGAGCCTGGCCTTGGAAGGGGACAGGCTCATTTGAATCCCTCAGCACTGCCTTGTGACTTCATGGGCCCCTCCCACCATCATAATATCTACCTATAAAAATTTGTAGAAACCTTCATAGACTTCAACATTTTTTTCTGCCTTAGGCAAAATTGAATAGATGTCCGTGGGTCCTAAAAGAACTGTACTGAGACAGGCACTCTTCCACTGTGCCAGCCACCGAATGGAGAAGCACAGTCCCCAGGACACACTTACTGGCTCAGTGACCTGGGCAAGCTACTCCAGCAGCACCTCTTCCATCCCTCGCCTGAAACCCAGGGATAAACTACCTGCTTTGCAGGCTCCAGTGAGGACTGCCTCAGCTAGTGGGTGTGAGAGCACGAATTCCGGCCAGGCCCTGCAAGGAAACGGGTGAGGAAGAGGTGCTTTTACAGAGCACCCTAACATCCGAGCAGATGACAACATGTCCGTCTTCGAAAACGTTCCCAAGAGAGCTTCAACTTTATTTAGCAAGCAAGACCTCCCGATTTTATTCTGGAAGCGTAAATCTAATCAGCTTCCTCATGACCTAAAACTCAAAGTACTTAAGTAGCCCCTAACCATTGTCCTAAGTGCTCTGGGGACCCCACCGTCTCCTAGGGTGCCCTCTGGCAGGCTGCCCGTTGATATTCTCCTCGGTGGGCCTTCCTGGATCTAATCCTCCCTCCAGGGCAGGGGCTCAAGTTCCCTCGTTGGAATAAATGCAAGGGAGGGTGTTTATGAAGGAAAGGGACTTGACCGAAGTCCAGGCCGAGGTCGGAATTTCCCTCTGTTTGCTTTCTCTTCCTCCGGGCAGCCCAGCCGCGCTGGCGGAGGGGCTGTGGGGCTGCGGGAGCTAACGCCACAGGCCTCCGAGAGCCCGGCGTCCACTGGGCCCCGGAGACGACAAAGGGCCCCGCGTCCCCGAGTCAGGCTGACCTCCCACCTTCGCTCCTCCCTGAGTCTTATTTCACTAATGAAAGCAGACAGGCTTGTAATTCGAGGTAACTGCAATTGCTAAGACTGGAAGAGGGACTCATTCACTGGCATTCCCACAAGTTCTTCCCAGTTTGTTTAGCTTGGGAAATTAGGCAAGAGCAGGTAGAAAAACTGTGGGTCAAACACAAGCCATTGCAAGAAACTGACTCATGCTTTACCAACAGCATTATTCATCCTCTCATTCCTCTAGAGGGCTGTTTATTTATTCATTTATTCAGCAAATATTGATTGAGCAGCAAACATGTGTCTCTACCTTCTCACACCCTCAGGTCTTTGCATAGGCTGGGCCCTCACACCCCAACCTCGTATCCATCCAGACCAGATCAAAGGTGACCTCCTCTGGGAAGCCGGACACAGGCCCTCTCTCTCCCGAGTCCAGTGGAAGGAGCACTGGCTGTGGGGTCAGACAGGCCTGGCTGAGAAGCCAGGCTCCAGGACATCCTGAAGTGTGTCCTTGGGCAGGGCCCTGAAGCTGTCTACCTTGTTTCCTCAACTCTAAAGTGTGCCTGCTAATAATACTTACCTCCTAAAATGAAATGCCTGGGGATGCGATGTAAAACACAATAAACATCTTTTGCAATGTGCAACTGAGCTGGCGGAAGGGAAAAATATTACCCAGGGGTCAAAACGGGGCAGAGCTGAAAGTGAAGGTGATGAGCTAAAGCAGGCTCAGGGCACCCGGCAGGCAGTCCGAGTGCCCTTGTAATGAGGGTTCAGTGGTCATGGGTGACAGGAGCAGAGGGCCTGAGGCATATGCAAGGTGAGGTGTTGGCATCCTTGCCCAAAGCCAGGACCTCAGGGGCTCCCATTCCAGAGAATGGGCGACTGGGGCAAATCCACCTACGGGAACAGTGGAGACCTCCAGATGCCGCCCAGATTCAATGCTCCATCCCTCCAGGCACGGGTGCACATATTCCCTGCCCCCTCCCAATTAGCCTGGCCCTGGACTGGGTTCGGCCAATGGGTGCTGAGAAGAAGAGACATGAATCACTTACAGACTAAAGCAATTAACAGCCCACGCCAGGCTCTCTGGAGCTGTCTATACCCCACCCCCTGGGTGCCTGTGAAAGCCACAAACCAAAATGGCAGACCTGTGTTGAGATTGAAACCTGGATCACTGAGTTGCCCACGGGGGAGTGTTGCCTGAAGAGTTGCTCAGATGTCCTGCAAACTTTGCAAAAGCTACAAGAACAAGAAATAAGCCTTTAATGGGTTTAGCCAGTGTGAGGAATTGTTTGTTATGGAGGCAGAGCTGAGGCTATCCTGACTAATGTAGCTGGGAAAAAGAGGTATCAAGCAAACTTGCCCGTTTCTACCTATGATCTAGGTGCAGAAAACCAGTCTCCTCTGAAACGTCACATTCACTGTCCTTACTTCACAAGTGTTTGGGGGTTGAATTTTTACTACCTTTGTGGTTCAGGAAACCCCAAACTGTAAAATTAACTTGAAAGCATTTCCAGTAAAGTTCAACTGCTAAAAGCAACTCAAATCCCCTAACCTGGCCTCACAGGAGTCCCGCAAACATAGACCCAAAAGACAGGCCATTACAGGCTCAAGTTGGAGCCCCAAGTTCATCAAATCAATGGAATTACTGGCTAGGGAACTTCAAAAAACTTTTTAAAAATGTTTTAGGAACTATGAACAATTAGCAAAGTACTATCAAAAAAGACCAAATACATTTGGAAAAGAACCAAGCAGAACTGGCTGTGAAAATCTTATTAATGGTATTAAAACCTCAATATTTGGTAAAACAGCAGATTAGATCTACCTGAAAACAAAATTAATGAAACGAAAGGTAAAATGAAAGAAATCGCCCAGAGACACCCAGAGAAAACAAGTCAGAAAAAAGAAAGAGGTTGACTCATGAAAGATAGAATTAATTGTATAATGTGCATCTGATTAAGTAGACAAGAGAAAGAACAGGATTGACAGGCGGGCTACATGAAAACATAATAGCTAAGAATTTTCCAGAATTAATAATAGATGGTAATCTTTAAATTCAAGAAGCATGGTGAGTCTGTAGCAGAATAAATAAAAATGAATTCATTCCTTGGCATATCACAGTAAAACTGCAGGATTCCAAAGACAGAAAGCATGAAAGCAGCCACTTACTCGTCCACTCATTATAAAAGAAATATTTTTTGAATACCTACTAGGTGCCAGGCACTGTTGTAGTCACTTGGAATAATTCAGTGAAAAAAAAAAAAAAGAATTCCTGCTCATTCTTACAGGGACGATAGATAAACAAAAACCATAACAAGTAAGTGAAGTCTACAGTGAGCTAGGAAGTGGATGGAAAAAGGAAAAAACAGAATGGGGAGATGTGGAGGACGTGTGCAGTGGGGAGTGCTTAGGGACTAGGGTAGCAGTTAATGATGTACTAGGGGAAGTAAACTGTGAACAGATTGAAGTAAAGGAGGGACTTAGTGAAACAGATATACGCAGGGAGAGCATCTCAGGCAGAGGCAACAGCTAAGGGATTGATCGTTTGGATATCTTCTGGGAAGTATCTATTCAAAGCTTTTGTCTACTACTTTAATTGCATTGTCTGTCCCCTTATTAATGAGTTGTAAGAATGTTTTTATATATTCCGATTAAGTCCTTTATCAGATGTGTGCATTTTTAGATAATTTTGGAATATCAAGAATTGCTAAAAGAGTATATCTAGTGACCACATACCATTCACTCAGCTCCCCTTAATGTTAATACGAGGTATGATCGCAAAATATGGTGAATGTTTACATTTAAAAATTTTTATTACAGTAAAAGACACATTACCATTAATTCCCCTCAAAATACTCCTCCTTGCTTAGTGTGTCTTGCCTCCATTATTTCCATGGAATCCTAACGATGGTTATTCTACTTCCCTCATTCCTTTGACATTTATGAACTGGAATTCTTTTTTTTTTTTTTAAAGATTTTTATTGGGTAATTGGGGGGATGGGAACAGCGCTGGGGAATTGGGGGAAGGGGAACAGACAAGTTGCTGTCCTTTTGTTCTTCAATCTAGTTGTGGAGGACGTTGCTTCACTGGCCCAAGCTGGCACCATCATTGTGCTCTTCTCTGGCGAGGCAGATCAGTCACCGGCTTCTGGACGGCCGCTCACTGCGGCTGCTGGCCGCTCATGCTGGCTGCTGGCTACATACGGTAGCCCATGGCAACCCACTGCCACAGGGGCTGCAGCCTACGCCGTCGCCGGCGACTCATGGCAGCCCAGCTCCAGGTTGAGCTGTTGTTCAGCATCTTAGCTGTGGAGGGCAGTGTCACTGGCCCTCATATGTGGGATCCGAACCGGGGCCCTCTGGCATCCCAAGCAAGTTCTTAACCATCGCGCCACTCGGCCGGCCCTGAACTGGAATTCTTCATAAAGGCGGTGTTGTTCCCTTTCTCCCATTTATTTCATTATTAATTTATATCCGTGTGGATTAACAGATATTACTTGATTTATTCTTTGGGTTATAATCCAATGTTATCATTATTAATTCTGTTGCTCGAGCTGTCCTA